ATCCACGTTTGTCCCCAATTTGGGAAGTGTTACTCATGTTTCACTTAAGTCGATCCTCTGAGCCAGCGTATGACTGTCCAAGACATCTTACACCTACTACTTTCGTTCTTCTACTATTACTATTACTACTACTTTCATTCTCTTTGGTTTCGTATATGCACTGCCAGATATTTCATTTCAACTTGTCCTGTGCAAAATTTTACCTTTGTAGCGTCGCCATGCGCAAACAGGTTAAGATGGCCATAGAACAGAGTCATGCTTCCACATTAACCGCCGCTTCTGCGCGTGAACAAGACTGGGCGACCATAAAGGAACTACTTTGGCCAATTGCCGATAGACTCTCGATGTCGGGGACACAGCTTCTCGAGGTCGTGTTCCAACTCCTGACCTCCGATCGATCCAATGACGATATTCAAAATGAAGTGAGTGTCCTTTTTGTCTGTATAACGGTGTTCGAGACATCAGTCCTCTAAAACATGCAACTTTATATCTTACAGCAGCAGTTTTTTTAAATTGCCTTTTCGTTAAATGCCTCGTGCTTCAAAATAATTTCCTCCGAGTCTTTCAGCTTTTCGATTTCTTCGGACGCTACTCATACCATTTCAGTAGTGCATTCTCATTTCTATGCAATGTTCCCACACTGCACGCAGTTACCAGGCCGTTACATGTTTGCTGTGGCTAATTCTATAGCCAGCCTCTCCTTCTACCCTTTCATTCACTCTGACGGATGCCACAGCAAACGTCAACTTAAATCGGCGCCTGCAGTTCAGCTTATTAAAAATGTTTTCAACTTGCTTTCTCCGACGCCTTCAGCTTCTCGATTTACTCGGACTGGACCACTTCGACGCTGTCTCCAATCTCATCACCGATCGTGCTGCCTGGGCTCTCTGGTACAAAAGGTACCGAATAGATCCCCTGGGTGTTCAAAATGACGGTGATTCGCAACAGAGGACAAGGAAGGGCAAGGTAAGCCTAACATTCAGCATGGCTGGAGGAACTCCCCGGGGACAGAAAAACCCTTCCTTAGCCCCCAGGTTCCTTAGAGTAAATCTTCTTATCTTATGAAATGTCAACCACAATTCTGAAGTGGCTTTTTTTTTCGATTTGACAAAATTAGTCAAGCACTGTTGTGTTATGACATGCGCTTGGTACTTATCACGAAATCAGAACTGGCCCGGCTGTTGCCCCGAACGCCAGCACGAGGGAAGCTAATTGGCCAAGGGGAGAAGTACATTTTTACAGTACAAGTAAACCAGTTCACTGCGAGTCACTCTTACAAAAGGCTACGGGGTATTTATTCAGTCCGCTCCACGAGCAGGGGTCGGCGACAGGGGACGAGTCAGCTTTGTCGAAAAATCGATAGCCACGGCGCGTGCTCTCGTGACAGCAGCATGCAGTTGCACTCAGGGGCCCTTCTGTAAGGTGAGTAATCGTGGGAATGGGCGCATTTCCAATAGGTTGCAAAAGCCATTATCGTACGGCG